TTGTGCATCTCCTTTGCAGTATGTAGTTAGTCTGAAGCTAGGAGCTGGTGATACATTTTGATCTTTGCCGTTGTCTGAGTCATCGCCGACCGCAACCTTCGTTAGATTTCACCCATAACTCCGGGTTGAGTTAAGGAAATTTCGCAAGGTGCGAATTGAGGAAATTTCTCACAGTTGGTATTATGGACCTTGCGCTCGTTGCCCTGAGGTTCACGCGATATATAATCCGACGCATCGTCGTAATCACCGTAGAAACGTTGCAATGAGCTTCCATTTCAAGTAAGAATTACTATCGCCTTTAACTGTTGGCGTACCGATTTGACTTCAAACGGTACTTGAGGTAACATGACAATCCAGCCAATCATTCGTGTATTCGTTGAAACAATGGGGTCTCACATCGTAACCGAAATGCTTTTAAGAGTTCGGCTTGAGTCACAGGATTGATAGTAAATGTCTAGTTACCTTCGGATTCCAGATGCGCCAGATGCATCGTGTCGCTTAGTTTTATTATATCACAATTTATATAGCTATTCCTCTGACATCGTACGTCTCCCATTTCTAATCACACTCGAACAAAAACAGCATAGAATCATTTGGGAACAGCAGTCGTGGCTGTTGTCATTGCCTTGGTCTCAGAGACAGTTGAGAGGCATGACTGAAGCTTTGTCAAATGTGTACTAGTAGGAGAGGTAGATTTCAATTATTTTCAGCAATTTTATTATATGTGCCTTTCATCAGATTTTTTGGCACTGTTACCTGAAGTAAAAAAAATTTATGCAGCAGAATATTCCAAGGACGTCTGACCGGTAAAAATAGCATTTCATATTGATGCTAAGCAAGGTTCACCACAAGTGCAAACTTCATTGAATATTCATCTTCGTAAACACTTATGGCTAAAGGAGAGTTTTTCAGCATTTAGTTTTGCTTCATCAGCTAGAGGTATACTATGCAAAAATCACATACCTCCTCATGTCTTTGCTCGAAACTTTCATCCAGTTTTTGCACCATTCATATGAGCAAAACTGTGGTGACAGTCGGGGGAGTTTCACCATTTCTTCGTTGATCTGAACATCGTGAAGTATTTCTGTTTGCTGAGATGCAACAAACGGCTCTTATTTCTGAACCGCACTTTTTTACGCTTTCTCAAGACTTTTCCTATGGCAGCACTTACTGTAGGTTTCTGGGAAATATTCTTCTTATGCACCTCAGCGCTTTTTTTGCTCCTTCGTGGTGCTGCTGGAGTCCTGAGCGACGTCTGCTGTCCTCCAATTTTCACGTGAGAAATACAGGGGATGTATTAAACGATTTATCCTCAAGGAATTTGTCTAATATGAAGGGGTTCGTCTTTTATCTCCACACACCACTAAAATACTATGTTCATAGAAGAGGGCGAAGCCATTTCTTACTCTGTTTTGCATCAAATCCGCGTTACGTGTTAAAACATCTCTCGAACAGCGTTTGCATAACGGACTGCCTGCAAAACGGCACAGCGGTGCCCTTTATA